AAAATCAAGATTTATTTCGATTTTTTATGACTTATTGACTTCTTCACACAAATAAATCACAAAATTTTCTCCATTGTGATGTGTTTGTGAAAATATTGGAAGTGAATGTGATTTATGGTGGAAGTGCACACGTGGTGGAACAATTCTCACGGTGGGCATAATTGAAGTAGAGGATAAATAACATAAATAGAAATGGGAAATTGTGGGTGACCTGATAAATAGCGGAGGTCACCAAGGGTAGTTGAATTCCAATAGGGGACACATTTCCCGAAGAATTTCTATTGAATTTCCTACTTCGAATAGGTTTTACAAAATTATAAGGCAATTTATTTTGAAATTTAGTTGTAAACAAGACCATTTTTATGAATTTAAAATTAAATGTAGATACTGATTATACCCAATATTAAAAATTTCAAAATATTTCGAAAAGAAATGCATATTTTTAGCAAGAATAATGCGTGTATCATTTCAAACATTTGGATATTAAAATTCATAACTTTTCACTTGCAAGAACCTGTTCCCGCCATCCATCGATTCCCGCTTTTCTTAATCCTTTAGCACAATGCACCGAACTCTAAGCAGAATCGGCTTTGATTTATATCCACACAAACGAGAAGACAAACATGGAACTGCATCTCGGGCACACAAAAATGATTTGATTTATTATGAATTTCGTTTTCAAGTTGAAAGTAAAAATCTTGAACTGCATTCGGGGCTGTGGAGCGAAATAAACCTATGTGTGTAGGGATCGTTGGACGGTTCGATTCCAGATCGACGACAACAATGCGAACTCATAAATAATAATTTGAGAGAGTGCCGAGCAGAACGTTGTTGGGTATCTAAAAAGGAGAAGGCCGTGCCGGGCCCGGTCTAAACTGTAAAAACAGGTAACCTTCGAGGCACAGATACAATGGATGCAGACAGCGAGACGTGGATGAAGCCAAAAGTCATGTACTGCGACTCCAGCGGCTTAGCGTCTCGAGTTCAAAGTCAGATAATGGACTATGGAGATGCGTTTGCCGAGATATGCGCACCAAATTGCCACTGCGAAGGACGCATATTAATTTTTATGGCCGTACAAAATGACGATTGCATAACCGACAGCCAGGTGACTTCGACTTCCTAATGGCCGTATGATTTTTGCTGGAAAACCCTCGATTTTACGACCCCATGACAAGTGACAAAAAGGAAAAGTATCATAAAAATCAGAAGGTTTTCACTTTCGGTTTTGGCTTTGGTCCGTCCTTGTTGTTTTTGCCTTTTCAAGGACACTCGAGGCATTAAAAAATGAGATTCTTTTGCGAATTTCTGGAAGGTGTTTGCGAGTTTAGGTAGGTTTGGTTTTTAGGAATTTCCCATAGTTTCGTGAATTTTCACTTTGTTTCCTGCCTCTTTCGGAGAGTGTTCCCGATTTTGGTGTGCGAGTGGTGTTTTTTAGTTTTCGAGTTTTGAGTTTTTGCGTTCCTTGTCGCGTATCTCATTGCCATAAATCATTGTCACCCGCTTCGGCGCAATGTCACTGCGAGCGCTTCCCGCTGGGTTTCTGGCCCCCGACCCAGGACCCTCCCTGATTCCCTGCCCCTCACTCCGATTTTTGACTCCGTTTTCCTACCACGAACCTACAAAAAATATTATATGTATAAAACAGTTCGAGGCGCTGACTGCTTTTGGGCTAAAAAATAATATAGCAAGTCTTTCTCCTTTCTTTCCCTTTTGGCCATGGCCAAGAACGAGCTGCAGTAACTGCAAGTTGCCACCCTACAAAATGGGTTTTTGTTTGTGTTTTTTTGGACCTGCAGGACTTGCTGATTTGTCCTCTTTCTAGCAGCTGCGTAAGACTTATGCCTCTTATACAGCATTGCGTTACAAGCAAAACAAAATTGTTTAAAACAATTTATATATTTTTACTTTTTATAAATTAAATGTCAACTGTTCTATAAATAGTAAATTAAAAGAATACTTAAATTGAGTTTATTTTTCTTTTAAATAAAATTATTCTTATAGTACTTAATTTATTCTAAAAAATAAAAAGAAGTACAATGCAATGTAATTTGTGAATAACATAATATTAAACAGCAAAAGCAAGGCACTTTTAAGCTTATTTTGAAGAATAAGAAGAATTTTGTTCATTACTTCATTGATTTTCTGAAAATTTCCAGTCGATTTCCGTAGAAAATTATTCATTTAACAAATTTAAGTACAAAGATAAGAAATATTAATTTAAGATTTTTAATTTCTAAAAATTAAAATTTGTGGGCCCTTTGATGAAAGCGGTAAAATAAATATGAACCCATTATATTTCCGTCGGCTTATCGACATTAAGTTCTCAAGCGTCTAAAAATACTTACACAATTATTTTTCTGAAAAATTTTAAAATCTATTTCTGGAATAAATATAGGAACAGTAGAATAGTCATCAAATTAAACTTTATATAGTTCAAATTGCCTAACATTTTGAAATTAATTTGTGGTCCCTTTGGTAAAATCGATAAGGAAAACACAAACTCAAACTTTATCATTTCCGGCGGCTTATCAATGTTAGGTTCTCGGGGGTCTAAAAATTCTTTGGGACCATCCCGGAGCAACTAAAACTATTTTTGACGAACTTTAGGAAAAGAAAACTATTTTGAAATGCCGTTTCTGGTCTTTTGGTTTTTGTAGACCTACGAATGTATTTTATGTGTGTGAAATTTAGGTTTTTATTTTATGCGTTTTTGTTATATTTAAATTTGCCTGGGCTTGCATATGATTAATTAGCCGTTCCATGTCGCCATCTATCAATGGGGGCTTAAAATATAATTTTAATTTCAAATACAAACCAAACAAGTTTCTTTTGTGGCCGGCAGTTTTTGTTTAAGCTTTTTGTGGGATTTGTTTTATTAACAACAATTTCGTTTACTTTTGTTGCTTAGTTTTTTAGCTTTCGGTTGAATCTCAGAGGTCGTGATTAATGTTTTTACAAAAGAGTTGTCGCCATTCGCATGCCGACTTATAAATCTTTATGTGGCTTTGCCATGAGTGTGAACTTGATTGAGAATCCGTTTAAAAGGAAGTGGTTACTCATGGTTTTGGTAAGGGGATTTATAATAATATAGCTCGAAAGGTTTCTGGGATGTATATACATATATATATATATACATATAAATAATATCTATGATGGAGTATGGGATTTTCCATAAATATTTGAATTTTGCCCACTGCATCGGTGTATTTTTGTGTCTGACACTGGGCCATAAATCATAAAAGTTTTTGCAGGGCAAACAAGAACGGAGTTTATGATTTTGTCAGCTGTGTAACATTTCCAGCTGATTAAATCGATAAATTATGAGAAAATAATTTCATTTAATGCCGGCTATTTGATTGCGCAAAAATCGAAGCTGGCAAAAATGCAAATGGCAATGTGTTAACAATAATCGGGCCGCCAGGAAGGGCCATCCCAAGTTCATTAAGGCCAATTGGACACATCAGCAGAGATATTGGCCAAATAAGGGGTCATTTTTTAAATGTTTATTAAATTAAGTACTAATATTGCACTTTGATGGGGCGCAAGTGCAATGAGAGGACGGGAAATGGAGAAAGAGAGAGGTAGCGAGCGGCAGACAGAGAGGACGACAAATATGCAAAGGCCAGACAACTAGGACAACAACAAAATCAGCAACAACAAGGACAATGCACTGCAACAATGGCCGCATAAATTTTCTATGCGGAGAGCCCGAGAGTGTCCTGTGTGTGCGACTGTGTGAGTGTGCGAGTGTGCTTGGGCGAGTGTGTGTGCGAGAGAAATGGCCGCCCTTTCCCACCATTCGGAAGTGAAACTATGTTGCCCAGGATATGTGCAATAATTCAAAAACGAATTCCAAGTTCAAAGCGCCCATTACTCGTGGCCAGTTGAGTTCGGAGCTCCGTTCTCAGTATTCCAGCTTCAACTCCCGGGGAATCCCGAACATCTCCCACTAGCCCTCTCCCGTTTTGCAAATTTATGCAAATGGCTAATAAGCCTGTCAACAGTTTGCAGTTTGCAGGCCAAATGAGTGATGACCTGGCCGTAGCATCCGAAAAACGCCCTTTGAGTTATGAAGTGTTGAGTCTGAGTTCGGGCAAAAAACTTAAGCTTTGCCCGTTACACTTTCAGGAATTGGTTCCTTCCGTTGTAGGTATAATTTATACAATTAAAATGGATTTAGTAATTGAATTAAAAGTATTGTGTTTGACAATTAGAAAAATAAAAAGACATCGACTGGGTAAAAATGTTTACACTCATTTCTTGATCTTTATTATGTTTTCCAAAAATGTGTCTTATAACTTTGGACTTGAATTGGGTTAAAATTTTATTTATAATCTTTATCCAATTATAAGACTTATAACTTTTGAATTGAATTGGGTTAACATAAACTTAAAATTTATTGAATATTTTTCATTTATTGAATTTTTTCAAAATGTTGCAGATCTTTTTTTAAATTAACAAATAGAAAAAAATACTTTTTTGATTATATTTAAATGCGAAACCATACAATAAAAGTATAAACGTTAACATGTTATAATTTGATTTATTTCCATTACATTTTTAAAAATTTTATAGCTTATGACAAAAGTTAAGTATAATATAAATGGATTAATTATTTTTCAATCTGAAAAAAACTTTTTCTGGGAAAATTTGAATCTTAATGTTTTACAAAAACTATATACATACAAAATTGAAATAATTTAAGACAAGAATTCAATTAAAATATAACCATATGGAAAATTAAATTTTAAAGAAGAAAAATGTGGATATTTTTATTGTTAAATGATATTTTTCTTTCTTTTTTCTTCTTTTTCTTTTCTTTAAGTCATAACAACTTAAGACTTAATTAAGACTTATAAGAAACCCTTTTATCTTGTATGACATTTAGCAAAAGATATATTAAGATACATAGTCCCATAGTAGCCATATTTCTTCAGATGATTTTTTCCTTTCAGTGCATCGGCAGGGAAATTGAAAAGTCAAGCTCTGGCACTTACCTTTTAAATCCAATAACGTGCGCTTATCCTTCAATCCTGTCGGCTTTTCAAATTTCTCAGCTAACGGTAGCTTGCACGTGCGCCAAAATAAAAACTTTGCCCGCAGTGGAAACGAAACTTTTTCTTCTCCTTATTCTTTTTCCGTTTTATGGTTTTTCGTTTTTTTGTTTTTAGCTGTTTGTTTGTTGTTTTTGGCTGTCTACGTTTTATTTCTGTTGAATTGGTTGTGGTTTGAGTTGGAAGCCTTGGCTTTTGTTTGTTGTTAGTGTGTAGATATTGCTCGATTTGCGGGGGACTAGAAATCGTTGTTCTACAGATTCGAGTTTTGGGTGCACGATACGATTTTAAGAATAGATAAACACTTAGGTAGTAGGATTTGGCTTGATCAATTGGAACGCGAACTCTTCTCTGCAGCACAGTCAGCCCAGATCCATTAGTTGTAGTAGTATTGCACAATTAGTGGGTGAATATCAATCCAGACACCGGCCAGACACTCGAGCATCATAAAAAGAAACGCGCGCGAAATTCAATTATAATTTCTCTGGGTGTTTGGCTTTGTTTTCGTTGGGTGTTTATGCGATAACGACAACGATTACGTTTATTATTGTAATAATGGGGTTTATGACGATCTGCGCCGTACGAGGGCCAATGTGCGACTGATTGCGGTTCTAATTTTTTACGATTATTGTTATGATTATTTTACGGCCTTTATGATCTTAGCGGGCTGTCAATTGGGATAAGAGAGCGGTCGCGACGGCGGAGAGCGAGCGAATAGTTCAGTTCCGATTCCGACAGCCCCAAGATATGGCCGCTATACCGAATACGGGGCACCGAATACCGAATACCGTTATGCTTATGGGATCCCTCTCGCACACACACACACAGTCGCACGTGGGCTAAATCAGCGGTACACGGACGGGTCCTCGAGTGCTTTGTTGTGTGATGTTGATTTCTTTACGACTTCTATCAAACTAAACCCATAAAGCATTCAATTCAAAGCATATACATGTGAAAATCCCAGCGAGAACTCCTTATTAATCCAGCGACGTCGGCAGCGCTTCGTCGGCGGCGGCAGCGCAGTATATAAATAAAGTCTTATAAGAAACTCGTGAGCGAAAGAGAGCGTTTTATTTATGTGCCGCAACGTCGGCAGCGGCTGTGACGTGGGCAGCAACAGCGGCAGAGGCAGCGACCGCGACAGAGCCACTCTGCTCTGCCCATAAAGTATTTTGCGAAAAGAACCGTTCTGCTCTCGTTCCCATTTGAGTGACTGAGAGAGCGAGTGGAAACTGCGAGTCGAGAACTGACCACATTCTCCTCACATTCTCGCATTCATTCGCCGGAGGTCCCGGCTTGAGTTCCCTTTTTCGAGCTCGCAGGCCGGTGCAAAAATTGATTTGCAAACTATAGTCTATAGAAGACGATCTTATGGGCAACACCAACTATTCCGTTTTTACTTTGGAGACAAAAAACTCTTTTATTTTATACTAATTATGGTATGTTTTCTTTCTTTTAATTCATTTTTTGTTTTTCGTAGTAGTTTCTTGAAAACTGGTATTTTAATACTTTTGTACAGTTTAACAGACTAAATAATCATTTTTATTTCCTCCTTTGATATCACAGCACTTTGTAGCATAGTAAGTTTTTGAAGTCGCTCTTATGCAACTTGATTGCCTTGTGTTAATTTTAATGGGATACTTTCTTTAGTTTCCATTTAATTTTTTTTTATAGTTCTAATGACCGTTTTTGTACATTTCATAAAATAGTTGGAAAGGATACTTGTTCAAATGGTTAGCTATTGTTACGAAATAATTCATTCTTTCAAAATATATTTTCTCCTGTAGACAAAATTGATTTAATTAATTTTGACCCCGAAATAAGAATTTATTTACACACTTATTCATTTTTGTAAAGGGCTATTGAGGTCGATGGGATTGACCCTACTAACCTATAGAAGACCACCTTACACACAAATCTTTGGTCAAATTGACCAAGCCACCGAATCGTCAACTAGATCATGAAATAGTTACTTTCACTATTACGAAGGACACATGACATTTTTTTTATAGTAGCTAACATCTTAAAGTTAATTCTACTAAACTTGTTCTTATAGTTACGTAACCATCGTAATTCGTAATTTGTTCCCGTAATAGTTTCATGTGAGTATGTTTTTACTTGGGCTTTAGGAAGAATAAATATTTTCTAACTTTCAATTGATTTTTAACGCATTTATTTCTTCATAAAGTTAAATTCCTGTTTTCCATACTAAAATAAATTCTTTATTTTCTATATATCGTAATTTAAGTTTTGAATTTTTTAGTTTCGTTTATTAAATTTGATATATGTATGTTGTTTCCAAATTTATAGAAGGTTTTAAGAGGTATGATGGCCTAAACAACTTTTAACTACCAGCGGCACTTCATTAATTACAATCCTATTTAGAGTTATATTTATAAGCTCCTTCAAGAATACATTTTTTTTCATAAACGGAATATATATTTTGGAACTACAAATACTTGTTTAAATGTCATCGTTTTGGGCCTAGTCAAATCTAATAAATGAATGTACAGAATCAATTGGATATAGTCGAATTTGCATTGGAAGAAGTCGTAATAATTATTTTAGGCTGCCGATCTTAGCTCAATTTAAAATTTACCAGTAGCTAACAACATCAAACAGTAAAACAAAGTATATTAAACCTTATCCAAATTTGTAAAAACAACTGAAAATAGACCTTGTCACTTAAGGAAATAAAAAAAAAAGTTTACCTACATATTAATTTTATATTTCAAATAAAATTTAACCGTTTAAAAAAGTATTAAAAATAATTTTTATTTAGATGAGGTAATTAAAAGCAGAAAGTAGTATATTTTTGTGAAATGAGTTTTAACAAATTTTATATCAATGCTGATTCATCATTTCATGCGAATTATGGCTGTCGAAATAGAAAATATTTTTGTTAACGAATTATTCAAAATGTTTTCTACGGTAAAACGTAAATTAGTTTTGTTCCCCGAAAATGATTAACCCATTGCCGTCATATTTCGTCGTTTTGATGGCTCATTATCGGCCAAAATTTCGATAATCGGGAGAATGATGGCCGCCGTGAAATATGGAACCCGGAATCTGGAATATGGCACCGGGGAGTATGGCATCCAAACATCCACTTGCCGACGGCAAAACAATCATGGCCGAGTTTATATCGAAACGCGGCAACAACAAATCACACGCACGCACACAGCCACACACATGCAGGCCATCACTCACACGCACGCAATTCACCCCAGCATCAGTTCGCTCTCTCTCTCCCTCTCCGTCGCTCTCGCTCTCTCACAGCTGTTGTCGAGCGGCCAAGGGGACAACAACACAAGTTGGCCGACTTTTCGCTGCTGCTGCCTCTGCCGGCGCCGCTGCCAGCGTCGTAAACAGGGAGGAGTCCGCAACAGACGCACACTCATAAAGCATTCTCAGCTGTCGGAGAGCCCACACATACAAGCAAACGCACAAGATGGATGGCGGCGCAAGAAGAGAGCTAGAGTGCGAGCGAGAGAACGCGAGGCGGGTGCGAGCGAGACGGCCAGATGCGGCCGCGTTAAGTGTGACGAATGTGCCATTATTTTGCTTTATGTGTGTCGTGAGCGCGCCGCGCTGCTCTTTTTTCAATTGCGATTTCTCACATAAATTTACGCAGTCGTCGGGCGCGGACGTCGGCAGCGCTGCCGTCGTCGCTGTCAGCGTAGGCAAGGCAGAGCGCTCCGCTTGAGAATTTTCGCCTCTTTGAGTGCGGAGAATTCACTTGGCGAAACAGCGCTGAGAATTCCAGTTGGAACTGCATGTTTGCCAGCGGCAAAGACATTGCCGGATACAAAGCATTGTTTTTGTGTGTTCTTAAATTATTATTTTGTTGTTTTTTATTTTATATTTTATATATTTTTAATAACCTACATTTTTAAGGTTTTTTTTTATTTTATTTATGAAAAAAGAACTTAGGCTCGAAAATTAAAATGGTGTTATGAATTATAATTTAAATATTAAATAGAGTTCCTTAAAGCCAACAAATCGAATAACTTTGTTGTCGTCACCATTTAATTTTTCCATTTTTGCTAACGAATTATTAATAATAACTATCGGTTAAAATGCGGGAGAAATTTGGAAATACATCAATTCCAATCTTAAATTCAGTTAATAATATTTTTATATGATCTAATTTTATAATTTAATTTTTAAAGTATGTAATTTGTGTTTCAGCTCCATGTGGCACTTTCTATCTTAATGTCGACTATGCCAAAGAACTTTAAAGTGAATACAGATATATTTATATATATATATATATTTATTTCTAAAAAGGTGTTCATTTTATAAAATGTAGACCCAAAACCTATCCTATAACTTTTTACATAAAGTATTTTATTTTTAAAACATGTTTTTTAAACCAGTGCTATGTTGTTTTCGTATAAAAATATAATAAATTAGGATAGCGATATTAAATACAACTTAAATAAAACGGGTCAAAAATATCCGCAACCTTAAAGCGAAATAATTTCCTTAGGTTTTCCTTAAATCAGTTGTTTAATTATTGGCCCCAAAAATAACTTAGTTTGTTTTCATTTTACGCAGCTATGAATCTTACAATGAAACCATAATATTGGATACATAAATTGTATGACACCTTACGAAGCAACGGAAGGATAACACATTAAGCAAAGTTTCAAACTTAAAATAGTTATATTTTTTTCTTATTTTATTTAATTTAAATTAAACATAAAATAATGAACGTGAAATATTATTAGGTATCTTAAAATGTGACCAACAATAATTATTTAATAAGTCATTAAACAAAATGGATTTTTTTTTTGAAAATACCTTTGGTACTTTAAAGTTATGCCGACCCTCAAAAATGTTGCACTCAATTATGTGCCGGCAATAAATATCAAGAAAACGGATGAATCGGTTTTAAAAGCATACTTGGCGCCCCACTCTGGCACCACCCATTCCAATTGGGATGGGCAACAGCCCCGTCCCGCTTTCCCCGAAAGGTCCCATGGATGCTGCCCGTACGCATCGCTGCTCTTTGACAACTGTGCGACTCTAAATCATTCAATTCGGGTCCAGGATCAGACCCAGAGCCAGACCTGGTCTCAGCTGGAACCGAGTGTCTCCTTGCGTTTGGGTCCTTTTCCGTCCCCGACCCCGTCGCCGTGAGGTGGAGTCGGTGTTTGTGTGTGGCGTTCACCTTGGAAAGTATTTTCACATGCCGCCGCCACAGACAACTCGCCCCAAAAGCCTGCGTTTCCGCTCCACCAAACTACAGCAACAACTGAAATAACAAGTGCGCCTAGCGACTAAGATATACCATCTCCAAGGGAATTAACTAACTTTAATACGTACCAAATCAATATATAAGCATATTGGTTCCGTCAAAAAACAAGTGTTAAATATTTCTATAACTAAAATATCATCCATGGTGAACTACTAAGTTAACATATGATTACTGGTAAAACAAAATTTTTGTATATACTTATTACATTTTTTGCAGGTGATCAAAAGTGCGTCTAAATAAAAATTTAAAAAAAAAACTTTTTTTACTAAACTTAAATAATTGCTTGACAATATCAAATCTGTATAAAATGTTCGACTGATCTAAGTTTTATATATTAAGTTTAATCATAAATAAAATCTTTATTATAAATTAATTTTAATCTTTAAATGATTGTATTGTATTGCATAACATTTTGACAAAATCATTCTGTGTATTTTTATTTGTCCGTCAATATTTCATACGATTTTTCTTAAGTAACGCAGCCACAAACACCCTCCGATCCTATCTTTAAGAGGTACAACCCCTCTGCAGCCACAACTGGCAGAGGACAGCGCGCGTGCCGTTCAGCTGGATGGGAGACTTCAAAAACCAGGTCCCCGATACCTCCCGATACTCCTGACGCCTTCCCATACCTC